TGAGACCAGGTTCGGGTTTTTACAGGTCATTTTCTGCTCATTGGCACGGAGACGCTCTGGATGGATGGGCTTGCCAGCGGGAGCGATGCCGCCTGAAAAGGGCAAAGCTTCCTTTTTACCGGGTCTCTTTGTTCAAAGGTAGATATTCCTGGGGGTGCAAGAGCTGTACCCGCAAGGGTTTTGAAAAATCAGCAGTCTTGGCTATTTTATATTTTTGAGAGAAGAGCATTTATGGAGTGATGCTCCTGTGGAGGACTTGATGTTTCTTAAACAACAGCCTGGAAAAATCTAGTGCCCACGGTCCTAAAAGCAGACGTTTTAAAAATAAATTCATCCCCAGCCTCTGACAGATTAATCGGGCAGGATGTGCTCCAGGGGCGTAATCTGGGCAGCAAATTGCCCAAAATCCTTGGAGTGAACCGGCAGAGATTTTGAGAGGCAAATTTCTCATTTTCTTGGGCTAAAAATAGATGCAAGAAAAACTGCTTTTAAAATGGAAGGAAAGATGGTGGGTGACTTTGCTCTTGGTATCCTCCTGGTGAAAGGGGATGCCCAGAATGCTGAGTGCCCGGCCAAAAGTGTTATTGGTGGCCAGGCTTTTTCCTGAAGAGCTCCATTAGCTTGCACAAGGGCTTTTTTTTTTTATTTTTTGTGACTAAAAGGCTGAAAACCGCCCTGTTTTGGATGCCTTGCAGGGTGTAACATTACCTTGCGCCGCCTCCTTTGGCTTTAGTTTAGTTTTGCTGCAAAAGGCAGCTTTCAAGAGCAAGAAAGAGCGGTCCAAAAAACCTACCTGGGCTTAGAAATGAAGCGTGGTTGTCTGCCAGAAAAAGGAAGGCGAAAAACAATGGCAATAATAAGTATTTTCACCTGCACTCCAGCCCTTTCTGGGGTCAGGAGGGCTGTGTGCTATGGAGGGCAGTAATGAGTTTTTAGGAGTAAGTCTGTGGAGAAATCTGCATTTAATTAACAAAAATATTTAACTTCTCTCTCAAGATAAATTAATCATTAATCATCAGGTTCGGGGAGCTGAGTTATGCTACTAAACCCCGTCAGCTAGACTTGCGTTGAGTTGTTCTCTGGCTTGCGTTCCTTACCAGAAGGTGCAGAGGTGAAAACCCATCGCCGTGTCGGGGCTTGGTCTGATGAGGTTTATTTGTTGGGACCCGGCGAGTGTGCGCCCGTGTTACGCAAGCAGCGAGTTGTCTGACATCTCTTAATATTTGATTGGCTTTACGCTCTCTAAATGATGCAGTAGTTTGTTGTGTACTAGAGTTTTCTTTTTGCAGGTGTTTTTGCTGAGTGTCTTGTAAGACTCTTGATGAGCCAGCTGCTCCTGCCCAAAAAGGAGGGACCCGAGTCAAGGAGCAGATGGGGGCTTGCTCCAGGCTCCAAACTCTTTAGGAACGTGCAAAAAGCCTATGCTGCCACTTTGGGAGTGGGTTTCCCTCTTCTTTCCTGCCTCTGCTTGATGCAATGAAAAACTCTGCTTCCTGGTTCTAGCGAGGGCTTGGTTATTCGCTGCCCACCAGCTCTGCCTGCTCCCCGTTCGCAGGGGGCTTGGGAGGGACCGTGTTAGGCGCCATCCGAATTCCTCCCCACCTCCGCTGTGCGTTGGTAACGAGCTGGCACCTCCTGGGAGAGTGTTCTGGTGAGGGTGGGGGGCTGCCAGTTCCCCAAATCCAGCTTTCCCCTCCCTGAGCAGCCTGATGCTCCCCTGTGTTTTAAAATGAGGACTATTGGCCTCATCAAGCCCGGAGGGGGCATGTCGCCTGAGCATGCGTGCCTGCAACATCCCAAAACCAATTTCAGCTCTCAGCCCCCATTTTGGGGGCGGCGTTTCATTCTGGCACGGCATCAGGGGCTCTTTTGCTGTGTTTCAGGGGCAACACCAGGGTGGAGGAAGCCTGCGAAATGTACACCAGGGCTGCCAACATGTTCAAGATTGCCAAGAACTGGAGCGGTGAGTACAAGCCCCCGCCGTTGGGTGGGGCTGCGTAGAGCGTGGCTGAGCCGGGGTGACCCGCGTGCGCCCGAGCATCTTCCTGCAAATTATCACAGCCGGGTTTGACATCCCGGGCTGTTTCCATGGGGATGGTCCCTATGGCGATGCAGTTCCTCTCCTCTGCCCGGCCCTGCGATGATTTAAATGTTGGGAGGGTGACCTGAATGTTCGTGATGTTAAATTGGCCTGGGTACCGTTTACCATTTTAAAGTGAAAGCTTGTAATTCCACAGGGAAGCCTGCTAAAGGGGCGCTGCCCTGGGCCTGCGCTTCAGCAAGGAAATACTTGCGGGGTGGGACATCAGGTCTGATGGGTTTCGAGATCCAAGGGATTCCCCCTTGCTGATCCGGTAGATGCAGGGTGCAGCCAGTGGTGAGGATGAATGTGCACTGCCAAGGATGAGCATGCGTGTGGGATACCCCTGCTGCGCCCTGTGGGGACAGGCTCAACCCCCGGCAGATGAGCAGACAAAGAAGTTGGGGTCATTGCATCTCTAAACCTCTCTGGGTCCTGGGAAGTGACGCATGCTTTGCCGTTTTTGCGGCGATCCGGCTCGTTGCCAGGTCAGAGGGGTTACATAGGGTCGGTGTGTGCTTCTCTCCCAGCCGCAGGAAACGCGTTTTGTCAGGCGGCCAAGCTGCACATGCAGCTGCAGAGCAAACACGACTCGGCCACCAGCTTCGTGGACGCTGGGAACGCCTACAAAAAAGCAGACCCGCAAGGTAAGGGGAGCAAAATCCGGGATTGTTTCTCGCAAAGGTGCTTAGCAGCAGAGGAGGTGGCGTGGCAAGGTTTTCGGTAGTCACCGGCTCCACCGGGCTGTGGATTCTCGCTGCAGACTACTCGAAAGCTGTAATGCCTCCTGGGCTTCTGCTTCTCCAAAGCAGTCCCTCAGGTGGTGCGAGCTGGTCTGCATCGCCTTGGAGTGGCATGTTGGGCCAGCACGCGTTGGGGTGTCATCTCTAGGTGATCTCTGGCGCTTTGGCTGTACCAAAGCCTTTGCTGAGCTTTGGTTATGCCGCAGCGCGTTGGTTGTGAAGCACTGCCCCTCGGTAGCTTAATTCCTGGTGTAGCTTGACTTTGGAGAAATACTCATTTCTTAAGAAATGCTTAAGGCAGGTCTCAGGTCTGGATCGCAGTGGGATCCCTGCCCTTAGCCCCAGCCCCTTTCCCAGGGACAGAGGAGAGGTGGGAGGAAAACGGACTGACCTTGGATGGGATGAGGGTAAAAGACCTGAATTCTTTAAATCTGGTGGTTAAGAGCAGGATTGTGGAAGATTTCTGATTCCCCTTACCCTAGCTGAGTGTTTGGAAACAGGCCAACCAACCCCCAGTGTTACCCATGCTTTCCTGTGCCAGCAGGCTGAAGAAACTAACTTGGGGCTGATGCCACTCTTATAATTGTACAACACCCCAGTTTCCTAGAAAACGGCAGCTTCCGCATGTTTATGCGATCAGCATTTTGAATTTTGCTCTGACAAACTCGGCGTACGCATCGTTTGTGTTTTGCCTATCCTAATTTTTGAGCGTTCCCTTTCAGCGTTGGAATTTTTGCCTGGGGAAAGCGGGAGGCTGTTGGTGGGAAAGGGGTTGTGTTGTGGCTGGGTGAATCGGGGTTAGAGCTGCAGCCGCCAAAAATGCGAGGGGTGTTACGTCTGTAGCTCTTAGGGGTTGAAAAATGTGATGTTGAAAAATACTCACATGTGTGAGTAGATATTTATTGAAGAAGCTGCTTTGTGGTCTGATGTTACACTGAGATCTGATTTTTGGAGGGGGGGAGGTCTTGGGCTGGGAATTCTGACGTGCTGGCTGACTGTTGTTTTTCCTGAACGCTCATGCTGCAGAGGCCATCAACTGCTTAAATGCAGCTATCGATATCTACACCGACATGGTAAGCAGCTGCACTGGCAGCTCACGGAGCGATGTGCTTGTGAGAGATGCAGCTCGGTAAATGCTGTGTGCGCTGGGCCGAGGGGGAGCCCCCATCTCACGTGCAACCTCTGCCTTCTGTAGGGGCGGTTCACTATTGCTGCCAAGCACCACATCACCATCGCAGAGATCTACGAGGCCGAGCTGGTAGACATTGAAAAGGTAAGGATGCCGGGCGCTGCTGGTACTGCTCTGCAGGTGCGGTGGCGCTGGCTGCATTTCCTTCCCTGGCCAGAGCAGCACCGAGCTCAGTGTGGCCGACGAAACCCATCTCCCATTCAGCACTGGGCTTCTTTATGTAAGCGCAAGTCGCCCGCAACTTGAAGTTAGTGTTAACAGGGCGAGCGATGGTTTTCCCAGCACGGATCTCTCGTGGGGCAATCCTGACTCTTTCTGTGTACCCTTCTGCTGAGCAACAGCACAGCAGGGCTGGCAGAAACACCCGGGTGAGAAACCTTCTCGACTGAAGTGGTGTTTCACATCTGAACAGCACTTTGGGAAAGTCGTGGGGCCAGTTTTATAGCTGTTTTCTTATGTGCCCGAAAGAAGCTGCTGTTCCTTCTCGTTCGCACTTCAGCACTGACCCTCTCTCATTCCCGTAACTGGGGTCCCTGAACAGGAATCCTGCAGCAGCTCAACTGGCCGCGAATCTTCTGCTTGAAGTTTGCAGAACGAAGTTTTGTGGTTTCTAAATACTGTTTTCTAGATGATCATTTGCTTCCTCAGCTCCACTTCATTGGATCCCATCTACCCCTATTAATGACTTCAGCGTTGCCTCTCCATGTGCAGCCCTACTTAAATCAAGCCCTGCTATGTCAGGGCTGTTCTGTTAAGCGCTTTATTATGTTGTGGCAAACCTGGCAGAAGCCTTGCTGCACTGTGATCGTAAGCGTTTGCAGTCATTACCTCAAGAGTAGCGTCACCCCTATTAAACCTGCACCAGAGTTTGGGTCGTTAACAAAGTTCACGGTCAAATTTCCCTGGTAGCCTTGTGTTTTGAATGTGCAGGGGATGCGCGGTGGCACCTGGCTCCACCAGAAACGCCACGGAGTGCCGCGCCACCGCTTCCTCTGTGTGCGGAGGGGGAAAAAGCTTTTGTGAATGCGGTCGCTGTACGCTGGCCTGACCGAAAATTGTACTTCAGAAGTGGCATTCAAACGCGATGTTTCTGTCCCCAGGCGATTGCGCACTACGAGCAGGCTGCAGACTATTACAAAGGAGAGGAGTCTAACAGGCAAGTGGTCTTTGGTTAAAAGAGTCACAACAGGGAAGGGCTGGAGAACGGGGATTTGGCCTGGACGGCCCATGTGCTGGCACACCTCGCCCGCCAACCTCTTCTAAAATGTCCTTTGGGGGGGATGCCTGAGCCCTGCTTAGCTTGCTATTGAAGGTTCTCATCCTGCACGCAGGCTTGTCTGGTTTGGGGAGCCCGTTCTGTGCGCAGACAAAGCACAGGAGGGATTGAAGGGTGTCTGAGGCCAGGTCCGTGCTGAGCTGAAGGTCTTCGTGCCTTGGGGCGTGTTTTAATTTTGGCTGTTAAAAAGAAAATCCCTCTGATTTGCAGCTTTTGGGTCCCACTTTTATATACACTAAGTAGTACTAGTAGTGCTTGAGTGTCCCAGGGCATGGATTTGTTTTTCCTCAGGCCACACTTACTTACTTTAATGCTATAATTGATCGTAGCTCAGCCAACAAGTGTCTGCTGAAGGTGGCTGCCTACGCCGCGCAACTGGAGCAGTACCAGAAGGCGATAGAAATCTATGAGCAGGTGAGGATGCGTGTTTTGTCCCTTGGGGCCAAAATTTCTTCAAAATGAAAAGCGGGTCAGCGCGTCGGTCTCGCAAACCTGCTGTGGCCTAGAAGCTCCTAATCTTAGTTATTTCGGGGCTGATTATGCCTTTACGAGACATGGTTTGCTCCTTCGCTTTTAAGAGTTGCTTCAATTTACTAAAGGCTTTTTTTCCCCTGAATTCTGTTGTTTCTAGAGAAAGGCTGGCGGAAGGAAATCTATAATTACACTTCTGATTGTATTTACAAATATGGTTGGCAGAAAATTTCCCCCCAGATTTGTAAACTTGATTGCTCTGCCTTTGTGCCAGGTCTTTACCTGGGAACGCTTGCAGTGCTGCTTTTGTGCTTCCCGAGGGTTAATACTGGGGCGGGTTTTCACTGAGCCGACTTGCTTTTCCCCCCTTCTGCATCAGACAGGACATATGGCGGTAGCAGCGTGGAAGCCCTGTGCCGGTGCAGCGGCTCCCTGGGAGGACGGGCTGCGTGGGTGCGCTCTCGCAGCTGCCTGCGAGTCTCTTGACTTCGCTTGGGACTAGTTAAAAGGCTTCCCAATGGCTTTTTGTACAGAAGCTGGCATTTACATTTTTTTTCACAGTCTTTATTCGCAGCCAGCCATGTGGTGCTGCGTGCAGTTTTAATCAGCTGTCCTGTTTTTAATTCAGTTCTTAGTGATGCGGTTTTCTTTCCCAACTTTAATAATATCTCCTTGGGCCTAGGTCGGCACGAACACGATGGATAATCCTTTGCTCAAGTACAGCGCGAAAGAGTATTTCTTCAAAGCCGCTCTGTGCCACTTCATCGTGGATGAGCTGAACGCGAAGGTCAGTGGGCTCAGAGCTGTTATCCCAGACTTTCTGCGTCCCTTTTAATCGACCTTTGCCGGCTGGGATGCGTTCTTGCGTGCGCAGGGATTTGCGTGGCCGTTGCATGACCGCAGCTGGAAGCGCCGTAGTGTTGAATGGCCGAAAGCAGCCCCCCCCGCCCCCGTCCTCCTCCTCTTCGTCGCCCCGTCCTCCTCCTCCATCTCGGTCTCTCCTCATGGGTCCTTTTCCTCATTGCCTCCTCCTCCTCACCTTCTCTCCTCGTGGGGCCTTCTTCTCCTGATCTCTCCTCCTCCTCCTCTTCATCTCCTTCTCCTCCTCCATCTCTGTCTCTCCTCATGGGTTCTTCTCCTCCTGATCTCTCCTCCTCTTCATCTTCTCCTTGTCCTTCTCCTCCTCTCCTCCTCCTCAGAGTCCTTCTCACCTTCTCTCCTCATGGGTGCTCCTCCTCCTCCTCATGGGTCCTTCTCATCCTCCTTCTCCCCACAGGTCGTCCTCCTCCTCCTCTTCTCCTTCTCCTCCTCCTCACCACCTTCTCTCTTCACGGGTTCTCTTCCTCATCCTCATCATCTTCTCCCCATGGCTCCTCCTCCTCCTCTTCCTCCTCTTCTACTTCTCTTTCTCCTCTTCCTCACCATCTCCTCCCCACGGGTCCTCCTCCTCCTCCTCGTCCTCATCTTCTCCTTCTCCCCACGGGTCCTCTTCCTCTTCTTCTCTTTCTCCGCCTCCTCCTCCTCACCACCTTCTCTGCTCATGGGTTCTCCTCCTCCTCCTCATCTTCTCCCCACGGGCCCTCCTCCTCCTCTTCCTCTTCTTCTCTTTCTCCTCATCTGCGGGGATTTGCGTGGCCGTTGCATGACCGCAGCTGGAAGCGCCGTAGTGTTGAATGGCATTTACTGCGAATGCTTTCCCAAGCTCTCCATCCGGTTTTAGGACTGGAAGGCAGAAACTGAAATTAAAAGCAAGCAGTTTTGTGTGAAATGAGCATAAGGGCATAAGGGTTATCTTCTCTCTTTCAGCTTGCCCTTGAGAAATACGAAGAAATGTTCCCAGCGTTCACAGATTCACGGGAGTGCAAGCTATTGAAAGTAAGTAAAGCCGGTATTAAAACAACGGGGAGGCTTCAAAATGCATGCTGCCCTTTGCTTTCTGCTTTTTCACCTCGCCGTAGATTTTGGTCACTTATTCGAATGTTTTGGAGGATGCCACGCTCACTCTGTGTGGGGTTTACACCAAACTTGGGGAAGTAGTTGCAGCGTAAAGATGATTATTCTAGCTAACTTAAAAAAACCCAAACCCAAGTGATTTCAGTCTCGATGGCAGGTGGTTTGAAGGTGCCGCTGCTGGATGCGTGGGCGGAGGGGTCCACTTGCACCGGCCCTGCGGGAATGCGCAGTAACGGAGTATTTTCTAATTTTTAATGGTGTTCTCCTAGAAACTGCTGGAAGCCCACGAGGAGCAAAACTGCGAGGCATACACCGAGGCAGTAAGTAGTCGCAAATTGGCTACGGTGTGCTTGAGGAGGGCTGCTTGTTCCATTTTTTTTTTTTTACCTTTTTGGGGTGTGCGCACATGCTGTTAAGTGTCGGGTAACCGATTGCCCGAGCTCCGAGTGCTCCAACCGAGTCCCTCTTCCTCTTCTTCTCTTTCTCCTCCTCCTGATCTTCTCCCCACGGGTCCTCTTTCTCCTCTTCCTCATCTTCTCCTTCTCCCCACGGGTGCTCTTCCTCTTCTTCTCTTTCTCCTCCTCCTCCTCTTCTCCTCACGGGTCCTCCTCCTCCTCTTCCTCCTCTTCTCCTTCTCTTTCTCCTCCTCCTCATCTTCTCCCCACGGGTCCTCCTCCTCCTCCTCTTCTGGGCCCCAGGAGAGACGGGTGTTAGCAAGGCCTAAAACTTCCTATTTTAAAATTACTAGTGTGTCCTTGAGAGTGGAGGAAAGATCCTGCCTGGTTTTACTCCAGCCCCTTTTGGTGTTTGACAGTGGTTTCAGGTGCTCTGTGTGCTTTTGGACACATAGGTATCTTATTAATTATTATCTATATTAATTTATTAATATAAGATTAATATAAAGAAAGACTATAAATTAATGTAATTGGTATATTTTTATTTATTTTATTTCTCTGGGAATGCTAGAAGTTTTAAAAGACCATGCTTCAAGAGCTGCAGAATGCTTCTCTTGCAGCATTTCTAACACCTTTAGTTTAAACCGTTTTTGTTTTTTCCTCCCCCAATAGGTTAAAGAATTCGCCTCCCTCCTCCTCCTCCCCGCAGGTGAAGGAGTACGACTCCATCTCCCGCCTGGACCAGTGGCTCACCACCATGCTGCTGCGCATCAAGAAGTCAATCCAAGGAGAAGGGGACGGGGACCTGAAGTGAATCGCGCGTGGTGTTTGTGGCATGCAGCCTAGGTAATCTGTTCTCGTGTTACAGCCAAGGACCGCGACGGGACACGTGATAAAATATCTCGCTTTATTTTGTCGCTTACCACTCCAATGACTTGTGTGTTTCTTTAGTATCCTGCTCTTTGTCGTGACAGCAGGGGTAGATGAGAAGCGATGCTCTGGGGATCACTGGCAGCTCTTTCTGAGGGAAAGCAGCACTTCTGGCCGAAATACTTTCTAATTTTGTTAGCTGTGAACCCAAAGCCTGCACTTTGCAACTACTATTTTTTCCTGCTGTTCTGTCCCATGGCTCAGTACCCTCGATTCCAGCACGTGAATATTTTGTCTGCGCCAGTGCAGTGCAAGTAATTGCTTCTGATCTGTTGCTGTGGTATTACTGTTTTCTGTTTCTCAGTGGACCTGTCAGATACACTCAGACCTTGTTTAGTTGTGTGGTTTTTTTTTTAAATGATGGAGCTTTTTTACTGGTGCTAGTGAAAGGCTTTGTGACTCTCGTATGCGTGGGTGTGTATACATCTGATACAGATACGTGTGTGCACGTGTAAGTGCAGCCCGGACAGGGATCTAGTGCTGGAAGCATTGCACGTTAGGGGCCAGGACTGCTGCCATTGGCGTCAGGCGTTGCGAGTAGACCTAGTTACCAGTGTATTTTGTATTTCAGATCTAAATATAAAATGTGAGGTTCTTCTATATTTTCTTGGATCTATTTTTCCACTTACTTTACGGTGCATCCCATCCCTCCTCCCCCGGAGGTGACTTGACCCAAGTAATAATCTATTTTTCTAGCTTTTCATTTACATGAACTGCTGCTGCTGTCTCTCTTACAAGGTTTTTTGTGTGCACCGGGCACCACCCCTTAGTTTCTGACCTCTCTGCTTCCTTCCTGTGACGTGATGCTGTACAGAAACCTTGTTTTAGTTGTCTGGGCGACAGATGAGGGGAGCTTGCTTTGAAAAGGTGTAGACATGTTTGAAAATTGCTGCAGTGATTTTAGAAATGTGTTTCAAAATGTCTGCAGCCGAGGCTCTTCCGTGCAATGCTTTGCTTGACTAGAGATGATTAAGCTGCCTATTATTGCATGTGTATGCATTAAGAAGGGCTTGGGAGCCTACACTAGTTGTCAGTGAAGTGATTTTCAGCTGCACTACTGACATGTAAGGAATGAAAAAACAATTAATTAATTGCTTTATCTGGCACAACTCCCTTTCCCATGGCCAGAGCACAGTAGTCCCCAGGAGGTAACTGCTGCCCAGTGCAGACTCTACCCCTTGTTTCTGGCAACCAAAATGCCAGCTTTCACACTTCGATTTGTTTTTATTCTAGGTATTCAAGTCAAATGCAGGGCTCTAAGGGGTTTAGTTCTATTAAAGTAGCACTTTATCTCTACCCCAGGCTTACGAAAACCAAAAACCGCTCCTGGTACGTGCCAGATTATTTTTTCCCCTCGGCATGGTCACTTATTTTCCATAGCCCAGTCTGTGTGTCATAACTTGAAAGAAAAGCTGTGCAGAACTGGCCAAGGTGAGCACATTAAAAATGCCTGGATGGTTATTTTTCCACGCAACTTCACTTTCTTCACTTCTCGGGTGTGTTTTTAAGGCTACTCATCAAACTCTGTCTGCAACAAAGCCATCACTTTTAACTTGGACCACCCCCTCTCACATCTGTCCTTCCCCCAAACTTGGCAAAGAAGTACTTTAAATGCTCTTGTCTGCCTGAGGTGCTTCCAGAGGTCCTGGAAACGAGGACCAACTGCCAAGGGGACCCCGGGCCAGGACCAGAGTCCTTCCCCTGCTTGTGCCACCTCCACTGGGCAGAGGAAATACCGGGCTTAGGCCGCAGCTCAGGTGGCGGGTAGGTAATCTTACCACTGAAGTTGGAGGAGCTGCAGATTTGTGCTTGTTTTGCACCAGACGGCCCAGAGATGTAACTGCTGCTGCACTTACCTGCATTAAGAGGAGGGGGTTGGAACCATTTTTGTTTTAGTTACCTGTTTCCATAGCGAGCGAAGACCCCTGGTATGGATGGCTTTGCCTTGGCTTGGGTCCAGCAGCTTTGGTGAGGGAAGCCCAGGCCCCGAGGTTCACTTTCCCTAGTGTCACGTGGAACCGAGGCCAGGATTTTATGCCTTTTTTTGTTCACTTTTCCAGTTGTCCGCATTAAGCACAGTTGGGGGAAGATGCATATGGGGCTGGTGGACCAGAAGACCATAGCCGTGGGGTCTGTTACTGTGCTCTGGAGTTGTATCATTAAAATACAAATGTTAGTTCTGTGTAAGTAGGCTACAGCATGTCCTCCAGTGTATCAGTGGTAAATTGTGAGAGTTTTAAAATGACAATCTGCCACTCTGCTGTATTTTCCCCCTAGTACACAACTCTGTACTCTGAAAACTTATTAATGACATGGCCTTAGCAAGAATATAATGTTTTGTGTGAATCTGTACATTAATAAAGTGAAAATCATGAATGTTACGTAGTGATAACTGTTCTTTCCTGGAGAAGGCAGGCTAAAGCTAGAGCCTGACACAGCCCTGGGGTGTGACGACAGGAGCTACTACGCACAGGGCTTCCTTTGGTGACCTGTTAAGGTAGGGGCATGGGAAAGCACTGGCTGATCGCTTCGCAGTGACTGTCACACCACTTAACTGCCTGTTGTATGATGTGTCGGCTGTAGGAAACCGCAACATCCCCAAGCGTCGCATTTTGTAACACCTCCCTAAAGGCAAGCTCCAAGATACCGCGGCCGACGCGTGGAAAGGTAAGGCCTAGGCCGGGGTTGTCGCGCTCCGGCAGCGGCATGGCACCCGACAGGCCTGCTGTAGAGCAGAGTTAGGACTTACCCCAGTCTTGGTGCGCTCACGGCAATGGGGGTCTGTGCATTAGAAACATCTGAGAACAGTCAGCAAGTCACTGGTCAGTCTTAAGATTTCAATATTTTAATAAGAACAGTTCATATGAGTAACTGACTTCAGTACATTCATGGAGTACAAAAGCTTCCCTGGCTACAGGAACTAATGCTCAGACTTTAAATATATCTACAACCTCTTTACATGACAACCTCTTTACATGGGGTCATTGGGAATACTGAGCTTCAACACAACGTAGTGCTAGAATAAATATTGCAAATATAACCTCTTGGAAATGTTCTCTTAAAAAAATTCCCTTTCTATAGCTTAAGTTAGGATTCCACGGTACCACATCAGACGTCCCTTTAAGGTTCAAAAATAGCTCTTGTGCCACAGCCTGGATATCTTTATTGCTTTGCCAACCCCTAAGCCTTAGAACGGGCTCTAACAAGGCTTGATTGTGCTTACCTTTGCTCTAATGCAGCCTTACAGAAAGCTTTTCTTACAGCTTGAGCTGAGAAAGGTTCTGTGGAAATTCTACGTTATACTGAAGAGAAACGGCGAAGCAAAACAGGAAAACAAATTAGAAAAGCTCCAGATTTTTACATGGTGGGCCCGAGGTTGAAGCAGTTAACCGTACTGGCAAGTTGCTGCTGCTTCACAGCTACTCCCAAAACCAGGAGTCAGCCCAGGCAGGGGTTGGTTTGTCTGTGCCAACTATTTCAAAGGTTCCTTCCCCTGCACAGGGGAAAATGCCCCAAATTCTCCAGTGAGGTTAAGCTGAAGGCAACCGAAGTAACTTTCTCATTCCAGCCCAACTTTGGTGTTGGCAAAGGAAATGCAGAAGACTCTTACCCTGGACAGAAACTCCCTGGGGTTTCCCTGTGCAACAGCTACTGGACGTGACCAGGAAGAAGAAGGGGCTGTACTCCCTGGGGAAGGGGAGGAGATACTAAGGACAGAGCTGGCTGGCTGGGTAAGAAACACCCAAAGACTAAGCATGATTCTCGGGCGAGTGGTGGCGCTGGGATCCAGAGCCAGCAGGTGCTGGAGCAGGCTCGGAAGTTGCGGTTTGGGAGCGTGGGCCGCACAGAAGCTTTACTTGGGACCCTTAGTCCCTGTGCTCACTTTGTCACATTTCCTGATTTAAAAAGGCACATTGCCAGGGTTATTCTACTAAAATTTAGCAGCAGCAGCAGATGCTTATCAGTTAAAGCCTTTGAGCTGCAAGTTTATTCATCGCTTACGTTCTTAAGGGCTCTCGCCACCTCACCGGGGACAGTTACCCAGGCACTCGGCCAAAACTGCTGTTCAGATTCCAGCATAGTGAGGGTAGTCACAATCTGGGAAATAAAGACCTAAATCCCTTCAACAGTCCAGTACATTTCTCGCTTATTTGCATCTTTTTATGCCATTAGTCATACGAACCCCGACTGCCTCTCATTGGTAACTGAATTTACCTCTGGAAATGCTTGCACCAGTGGAATTCGCTGTAGCAACTTGACAGCAAAACGGTAATTTATCTTTTCCCACCAGAGTATTACTTAATTTAAAAGTAGGTCTGCAGATCTGAGCGACAGTGGGGAGGAGAGTATCGCTGACCTGTCTGAACCAGCAGAAAACAGATACAAGTTAACAGGAAAGTGCCAATAACCTGTCTTTCTACACATGCTCTTCCAGCACAGCCGAAGCACTACTTCTCATAGACATTTTTACAAGAGATATTTTGGTCTCTTAATTGCCAAATTATATCTAAAAGCTGGAGAGCAGTTAGAAGGTGCAGAGTGTCTGACTGACTGCAAGGGTTAAACTACACCAGGTTTCACTGAAACACAGTGATAATACCAGCACCTGCACAGCCACTTGCAACTAGGCAATCAGAACTCCTGGAATGAAACTCCAGATCTTTCCGAAGCTTGCTCCCAACGAGTAAGCTGGCTCACTGCTTGGATCTTTGGCAAAAGCAGAGATAAACCAACATTTCCTAAAAAGCAATTTAGTAAAACTTATTTTATGTACGAATTCCCACTCGGGGAAAAAGCAATTAATTGCACAAAGCTACTAGGCTGAGAAAGACAACATCATTTCTCTTGATTGTACGTGTGTCATCAAATCAACTGGGAATCAAACTCCCATCTTCACAACCTGTCTGAATATAGACGCTTTCACTGCAGGCCAGCTAAAGCAAAAAAGCTGAACTACCCCCTTTTATTTGTGGGGAATAAACTGTACTGGGACTTCCACCACCCCACCTTTGGGAGGAGGAAGTTCTAGAGATCCAGTGCACATCTAGCCCTGCTTCCTTGTAATAGTTTCCCCTAGTTCCCTCAGGAGGTTATTGGCAAAGTCAAAGACTATACAGAGGGTGCAGCTTAAACTGGATTTGTAAATGCCAAGTTATTCCATGTTCACCAGAGCATGAAGCTGTGGCTGAATAGAGTCTGTCTGCGTGTGTAGCACTGTCAGCTCACTTAAAGTGGTAGCTATAAGGGCTTCCTGGGGTCCCGGAGTCCCATCTGACTTACAGTCTGTTCCCGGGGCAGAGCCGTTGTCATGCAGCGCAGTCACACTCCCTGCGACAGCAGTCAAGTTTTGATAGTGGCCGTTTTCAGAGAAAGACAGCAGCTTCTCTGGTATTTTAGGTGACACATCATATTCTTCATCAGGAAGCTCTGTTTTGTGACCTTCATCATTCTTAGATGCTCCTTCAACAATGACGAGGAAAGACTTCCAGGGTGTGTTTTTATCATGTATCTGGAGAGAAAAAAAAATAAAATAACCAAAACCCAGAAGGGTTGAACACATGATGCCTGTCAGGGAGGGAAGAGCTTGGATGCAGCTCGTACTTGATGCTGGTAGAAAAGACCTCTATTTTCATCCCACGTAACTACCCCAAAACTAGGTCGGTATAGGTGAAGGCGCTAATCTGTGTCCCTGGTGAGGCATCCAACGGGCCCAGCAGAGAGCCCGGCCCAGAAAGAATTCTGGCACTTGCCAGTTGCAAGGGGAACACGCTCCCAGGCCGCAGAACAAACCTGGGACCGAACAGTCCTCAGGAGTGCCCTACATGGGCTATGCCACAATGGAGTAAGAACAGCTTCACTGCAGACTCGGGACTGAACGTGAACCATTTGAGTATCGTAATGCCACGTCAGAGAGAGGATGGCGTGCCAATCCCACCAAAAATGGGACAGGAAGCCCCCTCCAGGCCTGACAAAGCGGACGGGTCAGTACATGGCCACAGAAGAAGGCGCTGGGGCTACAAGGTTGACAGGTTCTTACCGAAGTGTGCCGTCGGAGGGTGGACTTGTCGGTGAACGTTCGCCCGCAGGCGTTGCACATGAACGGCTTCTCCCCGGTGTGTATTCGATGGTGACGCTGCAGCGCGTTCAGCTGCGTGAACTGCTTACCACACTGGTCACAGCAGTAGGGTCGCTCACCTGAAAGCAGAGGACAGCACTGAAGTGGTGCTGCAGGGGTGCCGCAAGTGCCTCTCGCTGGGGAACCTCAAGTAAAAGCCGGTACTTTGTGAAACGATACGGCACGCACAAGCATCATCAGAAAAAAAACGAGATGTTCTCAGAATTCTCACCGGTAAATCTGACGCAAGCAGATACTTACAGAGCAAGGGCTAGACCCATAGCCTGCCTAAAGCTGTGCAACCACTGAAGTCTCCTTGGTTTTTTACGTGTATTTTCCATTAGCAACTACAGTCCTGTCCCGGAAGATAAGTTTTCCTATTTACGAGGTACGTTCTGTGAGCACAAATATCAGAGCTGCTCATAACCACTAGGTTACCTCCAATTACATTGAACTGTCTTGCTACAGTCACTGTATTAAGCAGTTTTTGAAACAACCACCTGTTTACTCCTTCCTTGGTTAAGGTAGAAAAAGGGATACCACAGAACTTTGTAACAGAGTCAAGTGGTGTCACAGAAAAAGAGAGGACTTACCAGAACAGAAAAAAACCCATTAGCATCACCACACCAGACACACAGACGCAGGAAGTAAAAAAAGAGCAAGGCACGGCAGCAAAAGAATTTCATGAACACAGAGAACTCTGGCAAGGACACTTCCCAGAGTGGCACTGGATAAGCAAGCGTGGCATTTATTATGTGATGAAAGTAACACGAGTACTTGCAACCTACTGTATGGCTGAATAACATGGGCTTTCAGAGAGCAGATAAGAAAACTTAAAAACAGACACTGAAGAGAAAAATCCAAGCAGGAGAGAATGCAAACATGAAAGGTGGGCAAGCGGACAAGAACGACATCAGGTCTCTGCAGTGCTTTGCTCAGTGCTAAAATGGACATGGTTCTTTGGGCACTAATAATCCTCCTGTTAATAAGGCAGCAGTATTATTAACGGTACCTGCATAGCTCTTGGAAGTATTTCAGAGAATTGCTGCAACTGAGTAAGAAGCTCAGGGAGTGCTAGGTGAAGGGAAGCAGACGAAAGAAAACACTGCATCAAGAACTGACACGTGTGTGCAGGAATTAAAGCAATAGGAAATCCCAGTGAAGAAATCCCTTGTCTGAATTAAGCAACCGTGAAGTCTACGTCTTTAAATGGGGATGGTTTGTTTCAAACGAAAAAGAGCACCTCCTACCTGTGTGAACTTTTATATGCTGGTAAAGCGAGTTCCTCTGCGCAAACGTCCTGAAGCAAACTTCACATTTGAATGGTTTGGATCCAGTATGGATTCTGTTGTGGTGTTTCAAGTACTCCTTAGAGGCAAAGCTCTTCCCGCACGTTTCACACATAAAAGGCCTTTCGCCTGCAGCAAGGGTGAAGAGGAGAATTAAGCCAGCATAGCATCTGAGATAGGCTATTAAACATCCCACGCAAAAACTGAAGGATATTAGCCACAAACGGCACGCCAGCCTCACAAAAAGGATCTGAAAGGGCCACAGCGACAGCAGCCATCTCTGCATAAGGCACAAGAGCTTCCCCGCGAGAAATCTGCACAAAACCCTCCAAGGGCAACCGCCCCTATCCGACAGCGCGCCAACTGCTCTGCATAGTACATGAAAAGCCCAGGGAGAGCTGCAGCTAGCAGTCTTCTCACCATCTCTGGGGTGGTCTGGCTTACTCTCATCACAAACACAACACTGCGTGCCTCTGACGAAAGGCCTCCGCCTGTAAGTGGCCCATTTTAGTTACGTGCATCTTGAAAAGCGTTTCTGGAGTTCTGTTTCATTGTAATGTAATGTTTCCTGCTACCCACCTTTAGTTACAAGTTACCGGCGGAAGGCAGACTGTTTTAAGACAGGTTAATTAAGAGATGCAAAAGTACCACACACAACTGACGGGTGGTACGAAGGGTCAACTCAAAACACTGATTTATACTACAAAGGATACCCAGGAGAAGGACGTATGCTTTTAAAAAGATTTCTTTGCAGATCAGGATAAGCCAAGCCGGCTGTTTTATATTCCTTGGGCTAACCGTTCCAGACTTACAGAGAAATCATTTTTCTCTTAAAAGCTCTAGTTGAATTCTTATTGATGACACATCTTTGGATACTGAAGACTATCCAAAGCAGCCTCAGTCCACGCTTCAGATATTGGACCCCAGCCAGATGGGAACTCCTTTTCTCTTTAATCAGCTCCTTTTCCTCTCTCCACTGTCTGTCTATCCACCTATAGGAACCTGTCTTGGTAAAATCATGTCTAGGGGCAAGAATATAGTGATTTTATATAAAAAACAACTAAAAAAAAGCATTTTCTGAACAAAAATAAGATCTCCTGGTTTCACAGCAGGCCATCTCCTATACATAGCACATTGCAAAAGCAAGCCTTACCCGTGTGACATCGTTTGTGATATATAAGCATGTGATTCTGAGTGAACCTGGCACCACATTCATCACAGACAAAAGGTTTTTCACCAGTATGGATTCTGAAACGAGAAAGCAACATTAAAGCACCGAGGTATCTCTCTTTCGTGTGCAGCACAACACAAGTTGTCTTTACTTTTTGGCTGCTCTCTGAAGAGTGACTGTACAGCTGCAGAAGATTGTAATGTCTTTTAAAAGTACCTCCACCTGGGACAAATTCTGCATTGTGGTTCCTGCAGTGCTGCTCTTATTGCTCAATCACACATGCGCTGCATGACCAAGGCCCAGATCCAGAAATTTCTTGAGGTAAAAACAAATTTTTAAAGGTAAAAAAAAAAAAATTTTAGAAAACGTGTACCCAGGACAGACAGACTGAAAGAAAAAAATGTAACCATCTTGGGATCTAAAGTAAAGCAAGTATCTTTATATTGATGTCAATAAAATATTCCACGGAACGTTGAGTGATATTCCTGCGTCCCTGGGCACGCTGCTCTTGCGAGGCCGTCAAGCAGGGAGTGACTCTGGAACAAGTGACACCCAAAGAGCAGAATAAAAAGATACCACTTTTATACAATCAGTTTTCTTGCTGTCACCTCAAGCTTGGGGTATCATCTCCTGAGGAAGGCTGTGTGTGCAGGAAGGGCAGCTCACTGAATTGTTGCCCGTGCCAGTTTACTCTACCTTTAATTTCTGAGCCCATGCACACTTCAGGAGTCTTCTGAATAGTCCTGAACAGCCAACAGAGGCCAGAGTGCAGATGTAAAAATATATACAAAAAGATGAGAAATTCTCACCACAGACCATCACAATACACAAGTTAGAACAGCACTGAGTTTCCAGCATTCAGGCAGCTCACTGAATAGTCACACTGGTACACGACGGAGGAGAAACTATGCCAAAACCTAATTTTTTAAGCAGCACAGAGCAGTTACTGCAGTTAGGAAAGGACACACGATGAAACAGAGATGCCATACAGCTGCATCAGCAGTAACACGACAGGAGCACTCTAGCAAAGGTTATGCTTCTGGATGTGCTTCCTACCGCTGGGAGTAAACCCACTGACTTCAAAAGGGGCAGTGAAACAAAGCAGGGGTTAATGAACCCTCTAGGAATACTACCGCATACTCTCTTTGGATCACAGTAGTAGTACTGCGGGATATTTCTTCTATACCTCCCTCTCCACGCTTACTCCCTGGCTATCACCTGAACTTTGGCTGCAGATGAGCGCTTTCGGTAGACTGATAAAAGCAGGCCAAAGCCCTTAACAGCTAGGATTTTTGCCTTGATAAAAAAAGTCTCTCCCATGAAGTTCCATGACCATGCGTTCACACCTCCACCTTTAGGTCTCGCTGCAATTTAAGCGCTACAAGTGATTTCACATCAGCTCTGCGTGGGCGCCCTTGATGCTTCACTCGCCTCCAGATGGTGACACGCTGGCTTGTTTCTAGTCACGTATCACTCGTTTTCTACGCTTAGCACCCAAATCTGGTATTCTTCAATTTAATACACAGCCAAATCTCTTTAGAATACTTTCATACTTGGAGCATAACATTATTCTGTTGACTATAAAGAAACATAATTATAGCCCTAATCCTACAAATAATTTGGCGTGGGAGTTGCTTTCCTCATGCGAAACATCCCATTGACTCTTAACAAGCCTACTGCCATGAGAAAACTTAACTGTGCACTTCAGCAGCAGCAGGCCTCGACCCATGCACTTCTACTTTGGCTTAAAGAAAGTTACAGTAACTCCCTTAACCTGAAAAGCAGAGAAAAAACCCCCAAAACAGCTACAAAAAAGGAAATAGGGAATCTTTGCAGTCACATTTTACACCCCCACTTCACTTGAAGTCTCAAGGTGTGCTCCAGGGGATTCTGCCTCTCCCCCCAGAATCTAACAAGGCCAGTTAAGTCTGTTCATACCTCATGTGTGTTTTAAGTGCAGAAGGCTGAGAAAATTTAGCCTCACACTCTGTGCACCCATAAGGCTTGTCGCCTGTATGCGTCCTTTCATGGAGCCTCAAGGCAGTTTTGGAGCTCAACCCCTTTCCACACTGTTGGCACTGATGACGCTCCCCACCACCCTCATGAACCTGGAGAATGTGCCTCTTGACGTCCTTCTTCCTCTTGAACTTCTTACCGCAGAGCTCACAAGGGAAGTGGCGCTCGCTGCTGTGGACATGGCGCTGGTGGCTTTTTAGGTTGCACCGGTTGGCAAAGGTCTGACTGCAGGTTTCACACCGATAAACGATTTCGGCTGCAATGCCGTGGCTGTGCTTTATGTGCTTGAGAAAACTTTTCTCGTACAGGAATTCCTTCTCGCATGTGCTGCACTTGAAGTTACTGCCTCGTTTCTTTTTATCCTCTTCGGATTTTTTCAGGTTTTCTTCCGATTCAAAGTTGCCATCACATTCTTCGCTTTCAGGTTTGATGTTGCTCTCTGCTTGCTCCTCCTCCCTCTCTGCATCACACATATCCTGGTCCTGAGGATATTTGTCTTCTTCAACAGCAACCTCTGCATTCTTCTGCTGCTCTCGCAGCCGCCTCGTGTATTTCTTCTTTGGGATTTCCACAAATACCTTCCTCCCAGCGAGTCTCCCGCTTGCCCTTCTGATTTTGGCATAAGGAGGTTTCATCATTTCCTTCTTTTTGTCCATTTTCTCTTTTGATTTGGTAGCCGGCGTCTCAGGAGACACTCCACTGTCTACTGGGGAATCTGGAGGAGCCAGAGGACAGTCTGCCTGGTCAGCTTCTGCCACAGCAGCTGCTTTGGACTCGAGCAAAATGCTTGGCTGGGTAGCGCTCTCCTCCTCAGAGTTCTGTGATTCAGAGAAGTTTTGCAACTCCAACAGCACCGATTCAAGCATCTGCTTCTTTAATTGAAAGCAGGTTTCCGAGAGGTCCAAGCACTTCAGCTTTTCGGCTATTTCTAGCATACGCTGCACTCTGTCTTCTTCCACTTCTACCTTAGCAGTGTAGACAAACTCAAGAAAGGACGCGAAGTCAGCAACCTGGACCTCATTCAAGAACACGTTGGTCCTTGGGCCATCCATGCCTTTCTCATTAAGGAACACCTCCTTGAAAAATTTGCTTGTTGCTGCCAATACAGCCTTGTGAGCAACAAACTCTGCCCTGACGCCTTGGTACTCCACGCTGACAGTCACGTCGCAGAGGTGGCCCAGGAGACGCAGCTGATGCATTTCATTCAGAAGGTTGATAGGAGAGGACTTGGATTCCAGTAAAACTGCATTACTTTCCATCTTTCTTCTCTCTGCAAAAAGCTGTTAACAACACTGCACGTTAGCTATTTGCATGGAAGCTAACAAAACTCAAATATTTCACCAGCCAAAAGCCACATCCAGACTTTTCAGAGCGCTTCACTTCAGGTTTAAGCACTTGAGGTGCTTGAGCTTAAGTGACCAGACTTTCAAAAGAGCATTGTGAGAAGTCTGGATAGAAGCGCAGGTTTCAAAAAGCGTCACCCTAAGCGGTCATATCTAAAAACATCCTGCCAGTCATATATAGAGATTTCTCTGAAGTTAATTTGAGTTTAAGTTTCAACTGTAATTTTACCTGAAACACTAGAGACTATGAGAGCATGTAATAGGGACAAAGCAAACAGAGGAAGATCAAAAGAAATGTTCTCATTAAGGCATGTGGAATTAAGAAATTATTCTCCCTCCTAATCAGGCAGTAAGAGGAAGGTGAGATTAAGTTAACTGCAATACTAAATAAACACTTCCTTAAACAGGCTTTCGAGATAAGACTTTTAAACAAGACTTGGATAAAATTCCAAATGCTTAACCGACCAAAGCACAGGACACTGCATAATCATATTCTCAAACTGTAAACCTAAGAAATCATAAAACTTCCTCAATGTGTTTTCTTTCGTAAAAACTTCATCACTGAAAATGGACTTACAGCCTCTGAATTTTGAATGCCTATTTGCAGCCTTACAAAGGCTTCACAATTTCCACTACTGTTTAGGTTATGTCGTATTTCCCAGTAACATTTTAAGCTGCTCCAAAGTTCTCAAAAGAACTGAGTTGGTTTTTTGTTGGGGTTTTTGGTGGTGGTGGTGGGTTTTTTTTTAAGTGTTTGAGCCGACAACAAACAATATTTCCATGAACTTTGAAGATGCTCTGAGCGACAGCCCCCCCGCAATCTACTGAGTTCTACTGTGTTCCTAACAGCTACGTACACATGCATTTTGAATCTGAAGAATTTCTTTCCACTTCCTAAAAGTTAACTAAGGTTTCTTTTCTCTGTACATGCTCAGGTACAGTAGACTTACAGCCACAGGACATGAGAAATCTTGCTCAGAAAGATAAATCAAAAAAATAGCGTACAAATGGAACAAAATTTACAGTAAGGAAGACATATTAAGCATGAGAGGCTTGAGAATAATATTCATAGCATCAGAAAGAGATAATCTTTCTCCTCCCAGAGCTATAAACTCAAATTTTAGTCCATACTCATTTCAACAAACCAAAAGTTAGACTCACATCCCAACGCAGTTTTCTGTTAAAACAGTTTTGAGAAAACATTTTCAAGAAACTGTACAATGGAGAGCCACAAACTACACAGATTCATGGAGATTATTAGTAGCCATGTAAAATGAATGCTTCATGGACTTGATATTACACAAGGTAAAAAGCAGGGAGCCCCTGCCCTAAGGAGTTTACAAATAAGGCAGACAAGACCTGAGGGAAGGAGGATGGTTTCCCCAACCTCACGCAACAAGCAAGCGGCAGAACAGAGGACCCAACCGACCACAGGCACCCAAACCTCTACTTTATATTCTACAGAAAAAGATTATCCTCAGAACCAAACCCTTCCTATTTCTTAGCCTTTGAATCTTCAGATCAGTAAACTTCTAATATTAAGATGTAAATAGTTCCATTAACATTACTCTAATAAATACCTGAAAAACACTGTTATCGAGTTACGCTTACTACACCTGAAACAAGAGACCCAGGAAGGGGAAAAAGAATCGCCTGTGCCAGCTCAGAGCTCAACAAGCATCTCAAAACTTTGTCCGCTTTTACAAGTAAACCCCAATGCCACACTTCAGTTTTGACAGAAATTTTGTACGAACAAGAACGACATGATTTGACTCCTGACTGAAAGGCTGACTCTTATAAATAAGTACAGAAGACAATGTTTAAACTTTGCTTCCCTTTCTCCATAGTCACCCTGCAATTTCCTCCTCCCAGTTACACGACACGCTGGCACTCCCAAGTATTTGGGGGTGAATCAAGCAAAGACTCACTGTGAATGCTTTATGTGAAATAATCACTGATATAAAAACTTAACTTTTTCTCCCAAGACAGTTATTTTCAAACTATTTATTTGTGTTATTTCACAACTATCCATCTATTTTCCATTTGAGCACGCAGCAAAAGCTGCGGTCACATGTAGACAACAGCAATCCCCAGCAGGAAACAAGAACCCAAACCACAAACTTCTCCCACTGGGGTGAACGAGCTCATAACTGCACTCGGTGAGCTGTTCGTTTCAGGAGCTGACCGCAGACGCATGTGTGTCAACAGCCGCTTTGCGCCAATTCCTTTTTTCTTAAGGCTGCAAAGCAGAAACCTCCTGTTCTCCCCACCATGGTATTCGCAGAATTAAAAGCCACTGTGAAAACACGTCACTCGCACTCATCGCTAGCCTTCCGCTGGTTTGAAATTTGTTCAGAGCAGAAGCAGTAACCAAATATGTACAGTAAGATACGCTGTGCTGTCAGGGATCTTCATTGCCACTCCTATGGCAAATATGCTGAGCATTGGGCTAGCAGATTATCTTCAAAAGATGCATGATATATACATCTTAGAAGACAAGGCCTGAAAATCTGCAAACTAAGCCTGCTCATTAGGAATAGCCTCATAGAACTGAGATTCAAATAAAAGCAATTCTTGCATAAGGTCACTCATCATATACCATGCATGTGTCCCCTTCCAGAGGCAAAACTAGCTGAAAAGGGACAAAAGGAGTCAGCTAGACATAACAGAAGTGCTCGTGGACCCAAAAGCTTGTCTGTTCTTCTGCACCAACAATTCCACACAGTCTATTAAGAGACACGACCACTACGTACTGACCTGCCTCACTTAGGATTGCTCCAACTATTGAAGCCACAATAATGGTACCACAACAACAGGCACAGTCCATGAGGCTGAAGCAGAAATTAAGCCTACGCATACAAGGACGGCATACTGCAGCGAACACCCAGCGTGACTTTTAGATGACAGACTAGAGCACCCCACAAAGACCTGGCAGCCCCCATGAGAGTGCAGGGGCACTTGGAGACTGCGCTGACCCCAGACCAGGCCATGAGACTCCTATGTGGGAGGAGGATGCAGCATCACAAAATGCTTCCCCACAGCTCACATGACAAGGCCAGTCGCCCTCCTCCTCAGCAGGCTTCTTCCTCGGCCTCCCCTGCTTGCCACTGCCACCCGAAGATGACAGGCCTGGGCACGGGCTGCAGCCCACACACACACACCTCTCTCCTCAGCCAAAAAAGGGGGCAGCAGCCCCCGAAGGGGTAACAGAGAGAGGATGTCCAGCTGGCTGCCCCACCTAGGAGGGGCGGTGAGGCTCCTGACATCCCTGCTGAGGGGAGATGCCCCCCGCCCCGCCCTCCGCTTCCTCTCCCCTGTGGATCACAGGAGTCCGCTGGGAGCGCGTCCCGCTACCTCCCCAC